AGAACCTGTTCCAGAACTACCTGATGCCAGCCCTAATGATCTCAGTGTCTCCAGGAGGAAAGAAGAATGCAAGACTACGTCAGCCCTGATCCTTATCCACAGCCCTATTTTCCACTCTGAAACTATAAGACCCCTTCCTATTTCCCAGGAAGAGGGGCACAGTCTGGAGAGCGTTAGCCTGCTGTGGCCCCTTTGCCTGGCAAAGTAATAAAGCTACTCCTTTCTACTCCTCCAGGTCTCTGTCTCTGTGTTTCTATTTGGCCCCAATGAACAGAGGCCTGGTTTTTTGGCAACAAAATCAAGCTTCTAGAGGTAAAAAGTAAAATGATTTGAAAAAGTCATTTTCTGGGATTAGTGGGAGAATACACATTTCGAAAGAAAAGATTAGTAAACTTAAAGATATGTCAATAGAAATTTAAAATTGAAACCCAGAGGGAAAAAAAGACAAAATAAAATGAACACAGCATCAGTACACTGTGGAAAATTTTCAGATGGCTGAATATGCATATTGTTGGAGTCTCTGGAGAAAAGGGGAACTAGGGGAGAAACAAAAAAATAAAGAAATAATGGCCAGATGTTTTCCAAAATTGCTGAAAACTACAAATCCAGAGATCCAATAAGCTCAAGAAATCCTAAGCAAAGAAACATAAAATTTCACCAAGGCATATCATAATAAAATTACTGAAGAGCAGTGACAAAGAGACAAATATTAAAAGCAAAGAAAAAATATGCAGTATGTACAGAGAAACAGATAATGATGACAGCAATTTTACCTGTAATTATATAGCATTAGCAAAACAGAAAATAATGGAAGACAGAAGACAGTGGAGCAACATTTTTAAAGTATTAAAACAAAAAACAAAACCAAAACAAAACCCTATCAATAAAGATTTCTTTACCCACAGAAAATATCTTTCAAAATTTAAGGCAAAATAAATACTTCTTCAAACTTAAAACACTTTAAAGAATTCATTACCAGCAGGCTTGAATATTTTGCATCACAAGAAATGTAAAAGGAAGTTTTTCAGGTAAAAGGAAAAGGATGCCAGAGAGAATTCTGGATTATACAAGGGAATGCAGAGTACCAGAAATTGTAGCTGCATGGGTAAATGTTAAATCTTGTTGTCATATTATTTAAATCACTAGCACATTCTCTGCTTCTTTTCATTATCCCACCTGTATGGCTGGAACTGCAGCAAACAGTGAATGTTTCTTTTACTGTAAATTCAGTATTTACAGTAAAAATTATAATGTGTTGTGTGTGATTTACAGCCAATGTAGAAGTAAATTCATGACAAAAATAACACAGAAGCCAGGATAAATAGAAGCACATTGTTCTTATACTAATGTGAAGTGTTATAACAGCACTGAAAAGTTGACTGTTAAGCTAAAGATGTATACTATCATGTAGCAACTACATAAATAACACAACAAAGAGCAATAGCTAATAAGCCAACAAAGGACATAAAACCAATCATAGAAATGTTTAATTAATTCAAAAGTAAGCACAAAAAGAACAAAAAAAGAGCAAAGAACAGACAGGATAAATAGAAAACAAACAGAAAGATTGTGTAATTAAACCAAATAATATCAGTGACTATATTCAACGTACATGGTCTGAACACCCCAATTCAATGGTAAAGATTGACAGACTGGCTAAAAAAGAAAGACTCAGGTACAAGCTGTTTACAAGAAACTCACTCCTAACCACAAATAGGTTAAAATTAGGACAGAAAACCATATACCATGTTAACACTAATTATATAAGCCACATTAATCAAAAGAATGCAGGAGTGGCTATATTAATGGCCATATGTGGGAAAAACCACAGAAAGGCTGCTTATGGCCTGGTTACAATGATCATAAGTAATCCTAACATCTAGACAAAAGCCAGTGTGAGATGAAAGATGTGACAGATGTGAGCCCATCAACCACATTCTTTCTCTCCTTTTCATTACTCCACTTTTCGTGGCTGGAACTGCAGCAAGCAGTGATTGTGTTTTTATCTTTTGTTATAACAAATGTTATATTTAGGCTATTGTTTATAAAGAGTATTCACCACTGATGGGGCAGGAGGCTCAGAACAGAGGTTCAAGAGGTCATTGTCTCCATGGCCACATCTAGTCTGGCTGCACCCAATCCGCTCTATGTAAAACAATTATCCAAATATAATAGGATGCCGACATTTTACCAAGTTATTACCTGTCTATAAAATCTAACATGCTCTCTTTCAACAACCTTACCTTGAACAGAGAAAGAGGCTATTGTTATAATTTTTGTTGTAAGTAAATTACTTTATCTTGTTGATTGCCGGAAGACCTAGTTAGCACATCAAAGGATACATGAAAGCAAGTTTCTTAGTTAGAAGAAAGGTGTTTTTATTTAGAAAATACATTTCAGGACATGACCTTTTATTTTATAGCCTAAATAAGAATTTGGAATTATTAAAATGAAATTGGCTCTTGAGATAGAGAATTATTTTTCTCTAGAAATGCTGTTGAGTGTATAAATGCTTTCATCATAGGCACTATTGCATTTAATTATTGTATGGAATCCATAAGGCAGACAGAATTATTCCAATTTCATATTAAGAAACTGAGGCTCTGAGTAAATAGGTCCACTACTTAAATGTACATACCTAGTAAGTGACTGAACTATAACTGGAACTAAAGTTTTTCAATAACAAAGTATCATTAGTGCTATATTACAGCTACCTCATGATATATATTGCTAATGAATTTAACCTGAACAATTGACCTTTAAGTGAAAATTATTTTAAAAATTATAATCTCTTTAAATTTGAAGGAGAGTAATGAGGAAAATGCTGGCTTATTCAGTATTGATTAATGTCAGAACAAGGGTCTATATATTTAACTATCAAATTGACTATTTTAGTTTTCCAGACAAGTTAACCTAAATGAGTTGCCACCCATTAAGTTTAATCAAAAGCACTGGGAAAATATTTTTCGTTCTTGTAAAGATTGAAATCATGATTTAATCGCTCACTCTTTCAAACATATTTGCTCCAGTGTGATATGTCTCCTACTTTTTCAAAATAATATAAAGTACTTCAAATTATAATTACTTGTATCCTTAAAGGAACCATTTTTCCCAGGAGTCCCATTTTAGCCCTATTAATAAGTCAATTAGAAGGCTTGTTGAAATTTATTTTCAGGTTAACGCATAAAATATAGGAATAAAATATATTATTATCCTAGTTCTCAACAGGTTGACAATCTAGAGTTGGATATAACATAAGGGGAAACATTGGCTTAAAAGGGTAAGGAGAGGGCTTCCCTGGTGGCACAGTGGTTGAGAGTCTGCCTACCGATGCAGGGGACACGGGTTCGTGCCCCGGTCCGGGAAGATCCCACATGCCGCAGAGCGGCTGGGTCCGTGAGCCATGGCCACTGAGCCTGCACGTCCGGAGCTTGTGCTCTGCAACGGGAGAGGCCATGACAGTGAGAGGCCCGTGTACCACAAAAAAAAAAAGGGGGTAAGGAGATAATGAAGAAAAATGAACTTTGAACAATGAGGAGTAATAATAAATAAAAGTAATAAAATTATTGGTATACAAACCATATTTTTTAAAAAAACATATTCTAGATCTAAACTATAGAACCATCATCTAAGTGCTATAAGGTTTCTGAGTTGGGAAAATTATGCAGGCTAGGAGTTCCAGGAACCATCATGAACTCCAAAAATTACTATTCAGATGGACATTACTCAGGAGACAGGTATATTAGAATATCTCCCTTGGATGGAGACATGCTTATTATCATTGTAGAGATCCATAATACATCAAGATGCCCTCTACTTCTCTACTCAGAATAAAGGGTGTCCTCATAGGTAAATTATTCACTCAGTGAGGTAAAATACTAGGTTAACAGTAAAGCACAGTCTGGTTTGATTATCAAGATGAAAGATGATGATGACTTGGACTTGGGAATAACAGTGGAGATGGACAAATATGGATGTATTCTAGTATATCTTTTACACAGAGCTCACAAAAGTGCTACTGAATTGAATATACTGCTGAGGAGAAGACGTGGAGGGGAAAACCAACATATATTATTTAGTTGTATTATTTGAGAAATGCAAGGTTCCTTCTTCAAATAGCAAAGACCCTCCTTTGTTTGTTCTTCATTTTTCTCCTTCCATTTGATTTACAAGTAAAGAAGACTGTTAATTACTATTAGTAGTTAAGACCAGAGACAACGTTTTAAATATCTTACAGCTAAGAAAGCTATAGAACACAAAAGTCAGGATTTGGACTATACTTAAAAAGTGGAAAATAAAAAAGGAGAAAAGACTCAGGATCAGCAATCCATCTTCAGACTGAACTATGTGAAAAAATAAAATTCATAAAACCTAAAGTTAATTTTAAATAATTTTAATGTACTTGCAAAAGCCAATATAGAAATGTTAAAATAATTATTTAGAAAAAATTAAAATTATGTAAAAATTAATGTCATTTCTGCTCAATTTTGCTGTGAATCTAAAACTGCTCTAAAAGTGTATTTCAAAAAAAATTAATAACGTGACCAGAATCTGAACAGCCAGGTTATTCCTAAAAAATATATATATATATATATATGGAGGGAGTGTTGGGAGAGGAAAATTAAAACAATTTAATTTTTTAATTGTATAAGTTGCAAATAGAATAGGTAATAGGTAGTTAAAATAGCTATCATTTATTGAGCGTTTATTATTTGGCAGGAACTATTCTAAACACTTAACCCTCTTAAGTAATAACCTGTTTTAAATATGTTCTTCAAAAATTTAAAGAAAAATATTTTAAATACTAAAAAAACTAAAGAAAAAAATCACTTAAACAATTTGGTTTAAAAAGTAAACAAAATAATAAGAAAGGTAACATATTTGATTCTCCTAAAAAATTAAAAAAAGATGTTGGTTACTTAGTTTTTCTATGTCTCTCTCATGTACACGTTATTAAATTTTATTTGATTTTCTCCTGTCTCATGTCATTTAATCCTTAGACCAGCCAGGAGAACATAGAAGGATAGAGGAAAATTGCTTCCTCCCCTACAACTGGCGATGAAAACGGGATGCAACTTTACTGGCTGGACACTACTTGCTCCAAGGCTGCTGCAGTTAAGAGATCCAGGGACATCTGACAAAAGCAGAAGGTGAGAATTCTTACCATGTCTGTCTCTGGGATCTGTGCCTGCAAGGTATGTTGGAAACGTGTAAGAGTCCTTTTTCCCTTTTCTAAATTTAGATTGGCAGGAGAAAATATTTGTAGGGCTAGCTCCTGGACTAATAAGCAACTCTTGGGAAATTCAGTAGAGTGCTCTTGGTTTGTTGATCCTTTACCTCCCAGAGATGGTTATTATTTTTCCTTATCTCTGTCTATTGTGTCATTTGTCATAGAAGGAAATTCCATAGGGTAAGATTCAGGCACAGGTCTTAAAAGCCTGTTGTGTCTGAGCCAGCCCCACAGACTGGTGAGTTTGTGGGCCTTAGCAGACCAGTTTGCTGTGGGTTAATATAACATGAGGTAAAAGCTATTCCTAAGGGATATGTTGGAAGCCACAGTAGCACTATTGGTGGGCATAGATATAGCATTTAACGGCCATTAGGGCACTTGCCACCTCAAAAAGGCACCCATGAAAGGACAACTTGGTCACAGAACAGGTTAGATCACACTAGATCACCCACCAACCTCAAGAAAATTTCCATGCAATGAGGTACTCTGTAAAGCAACACACAAGCCCCATCCTCACAGCACATCCCCCTTAGGTCTTAGTTTGGCTGTAAGAAACCCAAACTCAGGGCAGTTTGTCATAAGGGGCCCAGTCCTTAAGGGACCTTTTTTATCTCAACCTTCATTGCTTCTGCCCATTCAATGAAGGCCTTTACTTTCTTAGACTATCACTGGGAGTGAACTTTCCGGATCTTGTGAGGGTTGCATCCTTTCCACTCTCTTGCCTTCTGGCACCTTACTCATTTGAGTGCTGTAAGATCCTATTTGTCAATACCCAGATGATGGATCCTTTGAATTGGACAAATGTCTAAACTGGCAAATTTTGAGAGAACTCTCATCCTAAACAATTGCACCTATTTTAATTGGTAGGCAGAAGCACCAAACAGCTTTTAACTTCCAAAATAGCTTCACTGAAGGATCTGTTGGGAAAACTTATGAAGAATTAAAAATATAAAAGGTACCTAAGACAAAACACTGTAAGACTAATGTAACTCCTACTGCTCTACTCTATCCTCCTTCATTTGGGTACCCATTCTAGTAATCCTCTGTCTGAATTGCCTTTCCATTCTGAAGAGATTATTAAACCACTGCCTTTGGAAACGGGATCACCTGAGGCTATAACCAATCCTATTCAGATTGAAGGCCAAATCAAGCATGATAATTAAAATTTTTCTTGGATTTTGCCAACAAGATAGCAGAGTAGAAGGATGTGAGCTCACCCCTCCTTACAAAAACACCAAAAACACAGCTAATTGATGAACAACCATCAACAACAACAACACAAAAAACGCTGGAACCCACCAAAAAAGATACCCTACATCCAAAGACAAAGAAGAAGCCAAAATGAGATGGTAGGAGGGGCACAATTCTGATAAAACCAAATCCCATACCTGCTAGGTGGGTGACCCACAAACTGGAAAATAATTACACCACAGAAGTACTCCCACAAGAGTGAAAGTCCTGAGCTCCATGTCAGGCTTCTCAGACTGGGGGTCTGGAAATGGAGGAGGAGCCCCCAGAGAATCTGGCTTTGAAGACCAGCAGGGTTTGATTGCAGGAATTCCACAGGACTGGGGGAAACAGAAACTCCACTTTTGAAGGGTGCACACAAGGTCTTGTGTGTAACAGGGCCCAGGGAAAAAAGCAGTGACATCATAAGGGCCTGGGACAGACATACCTGCTAGTACTGGAGGGTCTCCTGTGGAGGTGGGGTGCACCTGTGGCTCACTGCAGGGACAAAGACACTGGCAGCAGCAGTTCTGGTAATTACTCATTGATGTGAGCCTTCCTGAAGGCTGATATTTCCTCCCCAAGACCCAGCTCCACCCAACAGCCTGTGGGTTCCAGTGCTGGGACACCTCAGGCCAAACAACCAACAGGACAGGCTGTAAAAGTCTTCCTAAGCATGGCCCTTCCAACCAGAGGGACAAGACCCAGTTCCACCCACCATTGGGCAGGAACCAGACCCTCCTACCAGTAAGCCTGCACAAGCCTCTTAGCCTCATCCATGAGAGGGCAGAGAGCAGAAGCAAGAAAAACTACAACTCTGCAGCCTGAAGAATGGAAAACACACTCACAGAAAGTTAGACAGAATGAGACAGCAGAGGAATATGTCTGAGATGAACCCCAGAAGAACAACTAACCCCAGAAGAACAACTAAACCCCAGAAGAACAACTAAGTGAGGTGGAGATAGGCAACCTACTGAAAAAATGAATTCAGAGTAATTATAGTAAAGGTGATCCAAGATCTTGGAAAAAGAATGAAGGCACAGGGCTTCCCTGGTGGTGCAGTGGTTAAGAATCCGCCGGCCAGTGCAGGGGACACAGGTTCAAGCTCTGGTCCGGGAAGATCCCACATGCCGCGGAGCACCTAAGCCCGTGCGCCACGACTACTGAGCCTGCACACTAGAGCCCACGAGCCACAACTACTGAGCCTGCATGCCACAACTACTGAAGCCAGAGTGCCTAGAGCCTGTGCTCTGCAACAAGAGAAGCCACTGCAATGAGAAGCCCGCGTACCACAATGAAGAGTAGCCCCCGCTTGCTGCAACTAGAGAAAGCCTGCACACAGCAATGAAGACCCAACACAGCCAAAAATAAAATAATAAATAAATAAATAAATTTATAAAGAATGAAGGCACAGATCGAGAAGATGAAAGAAATGTTAAACAAAGATGTAGAAGCTTTAAAGAACAAACAAACAGAGATGAACAATAAATAACTGAAATAAAAAATACACTAGAAGGAATCAATAGCAGAGTAACTGAGTCAGAAGAATGGATAAGTGAGTTGGAACACAGAATGGTGGAAATCACTGCTGAGAAACAGAATAACGAAAAAAAGAATGAAAACATAATGAAGACAGTCTAAGAGACTTTGGGAACAACATTAAATGCACTAATATTCGCATAATAGGACTTCCAGAAGGCGAAGAGAGTGAGAGAAAGGACCTGAGAAAATATTTCAAAAGCTAATAGCTGAAAACTTCCCTAACATGGGAAAGGAAAACAGTCACCCAACTCCAGGAAGTGCAGAGTTCCAATAAGAATAAACCCAAGGAGGAACATGCAGAGACACATAGTAATCAAACTGACAAAAATTAAAGACAAAGGAAAAATGTTAAAAGCAACAAGGGGAAAGCAACAAATGATATGCAAGGGAATTCCCATAAGGTTATCAGCTGATTTTTCAGCAGAAACTCTGCAGGCCAGAAGGGAGTGGCACAATATATTTAAAGTGATGAAAGGGAAGAAACTACAACCAAGAATACTCTATGCAGCAAGGCTCTCACTGAAATTCGACAGAGAAATGAAAAGTTTTACAGACAAGCAAAAGCTAAGAGAATTCAGCACCACCAGACCAGTTTTACAACAAATGCTGAAGGAACTTCTCTAGGAGGAAAAGAAAAGGCCACTACTAGAAACAAGAAAATTACAAATGGAAAAGCTCACGTGTAAAGGCAAACATAAAGGTAGGAAATCATCTGCACATAAATATGATATCAAAACCAGCAACTGTGAGAAGAGGAGAGCACAAATGCAGGATATTGGAAATGCACTTGAAATTAAAAGATCAGCAATTAAAACAACTTTTTATATATAGAATGATATATCAAAACCTCATGGTAACTGCAAACTGAAAATTTACAATATATACAAACACAAAAAAGAAAACGGAGTACAAACACAACACAAATTAGTCATCAACTCGCAAGGGAAAAGAACAAAAGAGGAAGGGAAGAAAAAAAGACCTTCATAAGCAAATCAAATGCAATTAAGAAAATGACAATGGGAACATACATATTGATAACTACCTTAAATGGAAATGGATTAAATGCTCCAAAAAAAGACAGTGACTGGCTGAATGGATACAAAAACAAGACATCTATACATACTGTCTAGAAGAGACCCACTTCAGATGTAGGAATACATACAGACTGAAAGTGAGGGGATGGAAAAATGTATTCCATGCAAATGGAAATCAAAAGAAAACTGGAATAGCAATACTCACATCAGAGAAAATAGATTTTAAAATAAAGAATGTTACAAGAGACAAAGAAGGACACTACATAAGGATCAAGGGAACAATCCAAGAAAAAGATATAACAATTGTAAATATATATGCACTGAACACTGGAGCACCCTAATATATAAAGCAAATACTAACAGCCATAAAATGAGAAATCAACAGCAACTGAATAATAGTGGGGAACTTTAACACCCCACTTTCATCAATGGACAGATCATCCAGATAGAAGATCAATAAGGAAATACAGGCCTTAAATAACACATGTGACCAGATGGACTTAATTGATATTTACAAGCATTCCTTCCAAAAGCAGCAGAATACACATTCTTCTCAAGTGTACATGGAACATTCTCCAAGACTGACCACATAGCAACCCTCAGTAAATTTAAGAAAATTGAAATCACATCAAGCATCTTTTCCAACCACAACACTATGAGATTAGAAATCAGCTACAAGAAAAAAAACTGCAAAAAAACACAAACACATGGAGGCTAAACAATATGGTACTAACAACCAACGGATTTCTTAAGAAATCAAAGAGGTGATCAATAAATACCTAGAGACAAATGAAAATGAAAGCATGATGACCCAAAACCTATGTGATGCAGCAAAAGCAATTCTAAGAGGGAAGTTTATAACAATACAATCTTATCACAGGAAACAAGAATCACAAATAAACAACTTAACCTTACACCTAATGCAGTTAGAGGAAAAGAACAAACAAAACCCAAAGTTAGTAAAAGGAAAGAAATCATAAAGATCAGAGGAAAAATAAATGAAATAGAAATTAAAAAATAGAAAAGATCAATGAAACTAAAAGCTGTTTCATGGAAAAGATAAACAAAATTGATAAAACTTTAGCCAGACTCATCAAGAATAAAAGGGACAGGGATC